CGGGATCTCCGACGTCGGAAAAGAAGCGCAGGCAGAGGAGGAAGAAGAAGAAGAAGGGGGCAGGCTTGCCTCCGAACGACTTGGCGCGCATCAGGGCGCGGGTTCGAAGCCAACTCACCCGGATACGACAAGAACAGAATCTGCTCGACGTGTACGTGGGAGAAGGGTGGAGAGGAGGATGGTAGGTCTGCCCTGGCGATCCATCCACGTACCTCTTTTCTCTTCCTTCTATCTCCAACCCCTAACACGTGGCCAAAAACTCCCTTTTCTGTTTTTTTTTTTTTTTTTTTTTTTTTGTTGGAAACCACACCGCTACCTTTTTTCCCATCATATGTCGGCCGCGGGCATCTACCAGCTTACTCCTGAAAAATTGCCGCCACGCCGTCGTCGATATTTTTCATCGACGCCTCGTGCCGGCCGAATTTGAATTTTATTTGAGCCCCCCGGCCCCACATTTGAGAAAGGTAGCGGCGGTGGGGTTTTTTAATTAATGAAAGAAGAGAATGCAATGGAGAAGAGAATGAATGCAAAAAAACAAACACTCGGGAAGCCACCCCTCTTAGTCATATACCCATTTTCAACGGCAGTGTTCGAACCCACCCATCCCGAGGTAACGCCTACAGTCTTCCCCCGAATACAACGTACGGTCATTATAGCTGAATTTGGGGCATATTTCAGTCTAAATTCATCGTTGTATTCGGGGGAAGAAGACTGTAGGAGGTGTACCCCTTTGGAATACGAACGGTCAACTACGTGCGTGGCCAATTTCTCGACGGCATTTTGTCTGACAGCCACGTGTCCCACTGCCTCCGTTTTTGTCTGACAGCCACGACCCACATATCTTATGATCTTTTCGTCGTTATATTCCACGGGTTTTGAACTCCTCCTGATCCCTCGATCCCTCGAACCCACCCATCCCCAGATCAGGGTTTCTGTCCAACGGATTTCAAATCCCTCGATCCAGGGAGCGCACACTGTTCAACGGGTTTAAAATCCCTCCTCGATCCCTCGATCCCTCGATCCCTCGATCGCTCCCCACAGATCTTGATCTTGTCGTCGTTACAGTCAACGGGTCTCGAACTCCTGATCCCTCCATCCCTCGATCGCTCCCCAGTACTCGGTATACGGTGTGCTCTCCATGGACCCACCCAGCAGGAAGCTGTAGACGATGTCCCTTTCCCGTCTTTCGTCCGGTATCTGTTGATGGATGGTTGCTCTCTCTGTGTCCGTGTGTGTGTGTGTGTGTGTGTGTGTGTGTGTGTGTGTGTGCGTGTGTGTGTCTGTGAGGGGGAGGGGGCGTGGGGTGGAGGGTGGAGGGTGCGTTGTTTCTCAAGGCTATCCCAGGAATCGACAAATGGGGGAAGCATGTTGATGCCGATCTGGTGAGAGAAAGATTGGCGATGGGGATACAGACCGACGATGGTGTCCATGTTGATGCCGATCTGGGAAGAAAAAGATTTGGAGGATCGACGTGGTGTACATGTTGATATTGAAGAAGGCGAAGACAATAATTAGGCAATGATGATGATGATTGATGATGGGGATGTATACTGACGTGGGATGAGGCAGCAGACATTCGTCTGACGTTGGATATGGTGGATGGATGATACGGGAGGGACGTAGATGACCGTCTTTTATTGACGATGACGTACGCAATGATTAGCCAAACATGATGTGCATACTGACGTGGATGAACATGATGTGCATACTGACGTGGATGAACATGATGTGCATACTGACGTGGATGAACATGATGTGCATACTGAAGTGGATGACGTAGACAATGATTAGGCAATGATTTGTATACTGACGTGGATGTAGCTGACGTGATACAGGTCGACGTAGATGACCTTCTATTGGTGGATGATACAGGTCGACGTAGATGACCTTCTATTGACGATGACCGTAGGCAATGAGTAGGCAAGAATGATGTGCATACTGACGTGGATGACTTAGCTGACGTTCTTCTGACGTGGATGTGGTGGATGGTACAGATGAAGTGGATGACGTGGACGATGTGGATGATGTGGATGATGTGGATGATGTGGATGATGTGGATGGTAGGGGTGACGTTGGATTATATACAGTATATCTGCGAATTGCGTTTTTTCTTCTTTTTCCTCCCCCTGTGTATGACAGTATGATTATAGACCAAATTTTCGATTTATGCGTGTCATCCTTGAATGCGCAGAGCCATTTGCTCATCTTCTTTTTCTCTGTATCGTTCCAAATTCCAATTTTAACGGAAGGGCGAAAGAAAGGGCTTGCCGTTTGCATGTCGTGCGGATCATGGCCTTTTTTTTTTTTTTTTTTTTTTTTCAATTCTTCCCGTTCAGTATTTTTCCGACTGTCATTAAGGTTTATCATGATGCGCAATGAAATTGATCATTTTGGTTCAAAAAAGAAAGAAATAGAGAAGGTTTATCATGCTGTGTGGGTGGATGAATGGATGAATGTTTGGGGAATGGGGACAAGAGAATGAATGATATGATGAGCGGACAAGTTCAAGAGTAACCGCTATGATTTACTGTGTTTCTTAGTGATGGATCCGTTCGGATTGATTCGCAGTGACGACAGATCGACGACTCTGATTGGTTTCGGCTCCCAGGTAACACAGCGAAAGGGGCTATGAAATACTACCGTCTTCCCCCGAACACAACGCACCCTCATTTTGTCTGTATCTGGCCGGAAATATATCTTGTATACATTCATTTTTTGTGTGCGTTATGTTCGGGGGAAGACGGGGGTAGTATATAGACGGAAAGAGAACAGATCATTTCAAATCCCTTACGAGTCGAACGTTTTGTAACGTGCATTCTGTACGAGACGCACTCGCGCACGCGCGCGCGCGAGAGAGAGAGAGAGAGAGAGAGAGAGGGG